CTGAACACAACTTGGCTGAAGATCCAGACCAGAACTTGGCTGGAGATCCTGGCTAGAGATCCTGGCTAGGCTGCTGATCAACTGGAAAAAAAATAAAAATAAAAATAAAAATCAAGTGAATAAATAATCTGATGAATAGTATGAACTGGTGATTGTAATAGAATCAGGGACATAGAAAGGGAATGGACTGACTATGCTTGGGGGAGGGAAAGGGGTGTGGGGGTGAAGGAAGAGATTGGACAATAATCGTGCACCTATGGATGAGGACAGTGGGTGGGGAGTGAGAGCGGAGGGTGGGGTGGGAACTGGGTGGAGGGGAGTTTTGGTGGGAAAAAAGAGTAACTAATGTAATAATCTGAACAATAAAGATTTAATTTAAAAAATATATTATATCTGCCTTTTTTCTCTTTCCTCCTCTTTTGGGACTGTCATTATACATATGTCAGTATGTTTTATTTTGTTCTAGAGGTCTCCAAGGCTCTGTCCATATTTATTTTTTATTGAGGTATAATTCACATATAACATTATATTAGTTTTAGGTTTACAACATAATTTGATATTTATATATATTGCTAAAGAGCATTACTACAAGTCTAGTTAGCATGTGTCACCATACATAATTATAATATTTTTCTTGTGATGAGAATTGTTATGACCTATTCTCTTAGCAACTTTCAAATATGTAATACAGTATTATTAACTATGGTCAGCATTCTGCACATTATAGCCCCATGACTTATTTGTTATATATCTAGAAATGTGTACCCTTTGACCCCATTTATCCAGAGAAATAGAATTTGATTCAATGTCTGGAGACAACTGAATTACCTATATTTAAAAATTCTTCTTATAATGGTTTGACATTAAAATGACCTTCAACTAGCATGGATGAAATTCATGTAAACCATGGATGTCAGAGGGCACAATGAGTAAGAAGTTTTCATGACACCCAGTGGACTTCTGGAATTTCCTGACAGAAGCCCCCCACCTGTGTCTACCTTGTCCCTAACATACTAGGAGAGAAATAGCAATCCCTGAAAATCTAGGCTCTAAAACCAAGTCCAGCAAATGTCTCACGAAGGCACTCACATTTTTGTAGTCCTTGGTACTCTTGTAGATGTCTGTGCTAGGGATGCTTCCAAGACCGTTCCAGGAGGGACTAAAAGAAAAATTAAGGTCAGGATTTTTGGGGCGTGTGTGTGTGTGTGTGTGTGTGTGTGTGTGTGTGTGTGTGTGTGTTGGGTGTGGGGAGGGAATAGGCATATTTTGTTATAAAAAATTAGGAGAAATAACAGCTACTAAAGAGCCCATCATTCTGATGCTTTGGGACAGACGGGGTGTGCAGGAGGCAGCTGATCGATTTTTCTCTCTCATGGATGTTTCTAGCTCTCTATCCCTCTCCCTTCCTCTCTGTGAAAAATCAATAAAATATATATATTTTTAAAAAGAGCCCATCATTCTGATGCTTTGGGACAGATGACATGTTCCCGTAGATAACGCTGAAGTGAACAGCTGGTGTTTGTGTGCCTTTGGAGGAGGAGGGGGGACCCTGAGAGGAATAATGAGCATCACACTAATATTTTAAAGGCTAAGCAAAGAGCTTTCACGCCTGTTTTATCTTATTTAAGTCCCACCAGAACGCTGAAAGGTCAGCAGTATTATCCTCATTTTTATTGGTGAGTAAACTGAGACTCAGAGAAGTTCGAAACGGCCGGAAGGCAGGAGCAGCCCAGCCCTGATCTTTAACCCATTGGTCTGTCTTCAGAGCCTGGAATAGTGCCAGGGCCTGGAACTTACTTGCCACTCATCGCAATTTTCTGATGAAGTATGGAGAGTCTGCAGTGATCAAATTAGCCTCCTTTTATACAAACAGGAACCCGGGAGGACCAGAAACCAGCCCTTTCCACTTCCTGTTCCTGCTGCAATCAAATCGATTCCATGAATCTTCAAGTGCAACTGGGGACATATGCTAAATAGATAATTCCTGAAGAAA